AACGTTTTTTAGAAATACTGGTGTCCAGCAATCTGAGGATAAAATTTTAAAAGCAACTCAATATTTTTAATAAGATTTTATTTGTAAATTTAAGTATAATTTATTTTAGTCAAAGAATTCAGAGTTTTAATATTGATATTAAACAAATTTAAACTATTGAGTTATCCAGAAAGTTCATGCTGATTTTTATGGGAGATTAAAACATGAAACAAAATTATGCCATCAAGTATTTATTCAACTAATTACGAACCATTTTGTTGCACAACCTTTCTCTATTTTTCCTTCAACTTAAAGATTCCATTTTTCTAGAATTTCGGCAAAGAACTCATTAAGGTGTTTTTTTTTATGTCATCTAAAGAGTTAAAATTTTTACCACTGAGATTATTTTACAAGGATCTGAATAAATGAAAATCTGAAAGAGCAATGTCTGGTGAATATGGCGGATGGAGTAACACATCTTAGTGAAGCTGCAACAATTTTTGCTAGGTTGCTAAAGAAATGTGTGGTCTGACATTATCCTGATGGAAAACACCTTTCCTGTTCATCAATTTTGAGTGTTTTTCTTGAATTGCTGCCATTAATTAATCCAGCCGTGAGCTGTATTTCTTAGAATAAATTGACTAGTTGATTGACAGAAGCTCAGAGTACAGGATTCCTTTCTAATCCCACCAGATACAGAGCATGACTTTCTTAGGATGAAGACCTGCTTTTGAGATGGCTAAAGTTGGCTCATGTTGTCTACCCCAGGATCTTTATTGCTGAACATTGTTGTAAATGATCTGTTTCTCATGACCCGTCACAACTAGATTCAGAAAGGGTGCATTTATACAGAAAATCACACATGAAATGTGAACCAAATTTACTCAGATCATGTGGTACCCAAACATCATAACGATTTGGGTAAACAAGCATTACTAAGTTCTCATGGATGGTGGATTTTGATAAATTTACTGTTTTTGCCAATTCCTGCATTGTGTAATGTAGGTTATTCCCAATCAATGTCTTTTGGTTCTGAATGAGTTTTCTTGTCCTATGGACTGGTGCATTCCAAACCGAGAAACTGTCTTGGTTCAGATAAAACAGCAAAACTGGTCTTTCTATTAAAATCCATGAATGCAAACACTGCTCATGTTGAAGTTTAACATTTGTTAATGGTTACAATTTCATTTTATAGTAAAAATAAAAATTATTCAGTTGATTAATAAATATTTAATTCAATATGTTTAATATTCACCTTCTTTGACGAAATTACATGAAAAAAAAAAAATTGTTTCATTTCTAAATCTCTTGCTTTAAATACAGTGAATTGCTTTATTGATTCGGCATTTGACGTCTTCATCTGTCCCCGCATCTTTACAGATGACCCTTCCCAGGTAGACAAACTTATTGACTTCCTTGATGTCTTCTTGGTGCAGTCGCACGGGGTCTTGCTGTCTGTTGTTTAGCCTCATGACCTCTGTCTTCCTGATGTTGATTTGGAGGCCAGTATGTCTCAGGAACATCCCCAATATCAGGTGGCTGGAAGTTGTCTCCAACGACTGACTGTGGGACAGGACCAGACAATCTAGACTGACATCAAAAAATGGAAATGGGGATGGATCAGTCACACACTATGCAAGCCTGCTTCTAGTGTCTACAGCAGACATCGCCCACCCACAGCTGATATACTAAATGTAAATACTGACCAAAACGCTGTTTAACTCAGGCAGTCATTCAAACAAGTTGATATTAACTTTAATGTGTTTATCAGTAGACCTGATGAATTTTAAACTTTCACTAAGTTATAACGATACAATATACAGTACCTACCAGTATTTGTGTTGTAGGTTGTTTGCTATACAACATGTATAGAAACATATTACTTTTAGGGTCTCAATATACATTTAAGTGGTGTGACCATATGTATACTGTAGCCTAACTGGTAGGCTTAAGTTTTTGGTAACTAGAAGCCTACTGTATATTTGGGGAGGGGGTGTCGACCTATATGATAGGTATAGGACTAATGCAGAATTTTGAGGTAAAAGTTTTGAGGTTGACTTGTATGACAATTTATGGTAAAGATTTTTTGTGAAATTGATTTAAATCAGTGATTAAAAAAAAAAAATAATTTGATTTAAATTGTCATTTAAAAAAAAATAATTTAGAGGGTGTTTCAATTGACATGGTAAGTTGGTATTTTCTTCTTCAGAGGAAAATTAAACTTCATTTTGCTCATGTTGTTCTAACCAAAACTCTTGGGATTTAAGTTCTAAAATGTCCCCACCCACCAAAAAATATGATCAAATAATGAGTTTTTTTTGTGGAGTGATTTTAAGATATGTGTGTTAGGTATGTCTGGCAAGATACAGGGAAACACTGGACAGGGTTGCTCAATTTAAATTAAACTTTCATTTTAAATTGAACAACCCTGCCCAGTGTTTCCCCGTATCTTGCCAGACATATGTAACACAATTCAGTTATGTGCCATGCATCATACACACTTAGGCGTCATGTATCTTTTGATATATGACTGATGAGGCAGATTTTTTCCTGCAGTAGCTTGCTATTTCTTTCTGCAGTAGACCAGTTGCCATCCAAGGCTATAGAACCCAGTCTGTCCTGCTATTTACCTATAGCCGGGTGGAGAAGAAGAGGATTCATACCTTTCCCAAGGGTGTTAGCATGGAAGTGAATGTAATGGATTTGACTGGAATTCACATGTATCTCAAAATCACTCCTCAAAAAAACTCATTATTTGATCATATTTTTTGGGGGTGGGGCCATTTCAGAACTTAAATCCCCCAGAAATTTGGCATAACCAAAATGGAGTTTAATTTTGCCATGAAGAAGAGAATAGCAGCTTACCATGTCAATTGAAACACCTTCCAACTTTGCATTCAGCTACTGTTTGTTATTGATGCAAGCATACAAATTATTGTCCTTTAACAGCCAATTGTGAGCGCCATAATTGCTTTATAAATATGTGCATTTGTCATCAGGTAGGAGAGCTGATAGAATGCTGATTGTATCATACAGATTTTATCTTCTGAACTTTGCTTTCTGCAACACATTGATAAAACTACAGTAAAAGGACACACTCAGTGAGGATGCACTATACAAACAAATAGGGTCACTGAGTTCACTGCTTTGCTGTGGTAGGTGTTTATGCAACCTGTCAGATATGAAGAGGTTAAGTGTATCCCTCCCATACTATATCCCTCAACCATTAAATCATTTGTGGTTGGCTGTCAGAAAAAAAAAATGCTTACATCTACTTACTTGGTGAATAAAATGGTTCAGTGTAGTTGGAGAATTGAATGTTGACACCCCATTTAACAGCTTTCACAATTGTAAATATAACCAAATACATAACGGATATAGAAGCTGAAAAAAGAAAAAAGGGAAAGAGAAAATCTTTAGGAACCGAGCAGAAATATTTGAAGATATTTATTAATTAATCCTGGTAATTGTAATTCATTGCATTGAAAATGAGGAAAGACAGCTTAGAGAATTTAACACTGGAAGGGCATATCGAAATTTAAAATATCCAAATATCTTGTAACAGCCCTTGGGAGCATCACAGGAAGCCACAGCACACACTTTGAGAATAAATGTTTTATGAGAAAACTCAGAACTGTGCTTTTTTGGCATATGAACTGAATAAATAGATATTAATTAAAACTGACAAACAACAGATAAAGAAACCCTATGTTCAGTGGTTTTACTTAAGCAAAATAAAAAAAAAACCTCTAAAGTGTTTCCTTTAAGTAAAAGGATCTATTGATTTCAATTTCCAAGTGAGAATGACTGCAAAACATTTCCCACTCCCCCCTTTTACAGGCAGACGTCCACAAATGCATGCTGGGATATTTTTCTTAGTCAATAAGATATGTTCGGTTTGCAGTTTGACATGACTCAGCCCAGATCTGCTGTTTTAGGTGGTTTGGGCTGACTTATCGAACTCTCTGCCTTTGAGCAGAGAGGAACCCAGATGAGTTTATGTCAAAGGATAGAGTCACGTCTGGGGAGGTAGATAAGGCCAACCCCATGTATGTGGGGTCTACAGGTAATTTTCGCCCAAGCCTACAGGTTCGGATTTACCCCACATAAAAAAAACGGCCTTGTGCCACATCCTGCCTTGTGAGGTAAATAACCTCTGTCCAGATCTGCCTTGTTTAGATGACAGACCACTGTGTCTGCTTGTCCGGCCTTGCTTTTGTGTGTCGACACTAATTCTTTGTTTGTGAACATTTTGCCTTCTTACTTGTTAATTTGCCTTGCATATGTTCTTTGCTTGCTTGATAGATATTATTTCATTTTTTGCCCTGTCCCCCACCTTTTTTTAATTGCAAACTTTGTTAATTCTGTTTGTTGGACATTTGTTATTTGTTTGGGATTTGACCATCGGCTACTCATTCATCAACGTCGACATTCTTCACTTAATAAGGAATGAAAAAAATTGTGTGCTTAAATTGATGGTAAGAATGAATCTTCTATACATCACATAACTTTTTATTACAGCCTATTGTTATTATTCTTCTATTTTATTATTATTTATTGTTGTTATTCTTTTATTGTGCCTAATTTATTAATTAGGCTTTATTATTGATATTTATAGGGGGCTGAAAAGTTATAATCAAACCAAGATATATGTTCAGATTATAAAGTGTCAGGCTGAGAACTTTCCAATGTCTTTCCCTCTCAGCTCCCAAATACCCATAAGAAAAATTATAGCATATATTGCCAGTTCTATAGAGTGTAGCACAATTCTTGCAACAAAATTTTCTTCAATTTCTCTTATGAATGATAAAAAAAGATTTTGTTTGAAAGTGTCTAATAGAAATATAGTTGGGGGTTAGAAAACTTACCTAATGAATTGAATTTGGTAAAAAATGTCGGTGATTTGAAGTTTATCAGTGGAAACAAGATTAATAACAAGAAAAGTGGCACTGTTCTTGTTAACTGCCAAATATGATTGAATTGTTCTAATTTTTCACTAAATGGGGTAAAGTATGCTGTACCATCCAGGGTCAGATTCTTGCCATCACGGTCGGGACAAAGCACTTCAACTGGAAAACAAAAGCCAGACATTAGTGAATAAATAAGTCCAATTGGGATAAGATAATGGAAACTTTAGCTATATTGCTAATATACAGATATATATTGTTCAGTTGTTTTTTTTTTTTTTCAAAATGCTGCTTTGGATGGTTCTGAATTGGGAACTGGTATCTTACTAAGCCAGTTTGAAACAATTTTTTCCTGGTTACTAAAGAAATATTTAACCATTTTCATGAGAACATTTTTCTTAACTAATTCGAGATGTTTTTTTTTATTGATTGCTGGCTTTAATTTGTTTAAATGAGAACAGTACTAGCTCTAATCAGTTGTTTTGTTTTTCTGAAAGAAAGTTTAGGACTCTCTCCAATTCCACCATATATACAGTTTGAATAACAACTGGTATATTAGTGGTGATTCATTTTCCTTGCCCCAAGGCTTTGAGTAGTTTGCATTTTTCTAGATTTGTTTGGAAAATAATAAAAAGAACCTTTAGATTTAAGTAGCAAACTGCACATGGGAATAGAGTCCTGTAGTATTTTGGCAGCCACACATCAAAGCGACTAACATAACTGAATTGATGCAAATGACTTTAAAATCTTAATTTGTATATTTTAACTATACCATATTGTATAAAATATGGTTATTCTCAAGAAATGTCTTGATTTGATAGTTACCTAATTTGGTTGGTTTGACCGTGCAAAAAAAATCTCCAGCATTAAATTCTGTGAACGTGTACTTTTGAAACATTCAATCATTCACAAAATTTTCTCCATAAATTACTCAATTTCTTGACATACAAGAAGCATTTTTACCTTTCTTATAATTATAAAAAAGTGTAATATTTCTGCAAATGTTATTTTATTTCTTTGTTGTTAGAATCAATAAAGAAAATTCACCAAACTTTTAAAACTACAGATATGCCAGATGAAATCAATTAATCAAAAGCAATTTTTTTTTAAATAAAGTTGTTGAAATATGATATTTCTGTCAGCAGAAGATTGGACACACAGATTATTTGTCCCTTATTTTTTAAGATTTCCCTCATTGTGTGTTTTTCAGACCAATATATCCCTGTGAATGGCCAAGCTGGTGGAGAATGGGCGGTTTTATCAAGACAGCATCTCTATATAGATTGCTAGCCGAGGCTAAAGAGCTTTTATTTGCTCATTAAGTGAAGACTTGTAACTATGTACCAGCACAACTATTGATGACTTCCAAACAGTTTTCATAAACCTAATTTCACTCACAATTCTTGGGTCAACCTGTGGGATGATTTTCAGCAACTTATCAATAGTGCCACACACTGGGGATGATCTCTCTAGAATGATATTACTAAGAAGTCACCTTTTTGATTAATCAATCATAGTGAGATTCAAAATCTCATGCCATTTGTTCAGACGTCCATTCTTGGTTAAAGTTACTTAAAATTAAACTCTTAATGCCATCTAATAATAAACATTGAATAAACTACTTACCTGAAGAATTATGGGTTGAGTTTTTAAACTGGTCATTACTTTGCACTACAAAATGAGAACAAACAAAACTTCTGATAACAAAGAAAACATTTAATAAATAAATCAGCCTTTAATTTTAGGACAAAATTTGTATGTAAAAATTAGGAAGAAAGGCATTGTCAATTGTCAGGAGTTAATGCAAACATTACTAATAGAAACACCTATTTTATGTGTAATTTAAATGCACTGATAATGCTTTTATTATAGAAAGTACATAAAATCATTTTACTGTTGAAATGTGTTAAACATTTTAATTTAATTTTATAAAAGATAAAGAGGGAGGTCCAATTTGCTATGTTAATTCATTATAAGTTGATGACAATACAAAAATAGAAACGAATTTACTTATACAACATGATTTCTGAAAATGTTAATTTTTGTTTTAATTAATAAGGAGTCATTAATTAATAGTAACATATGGGAAAAAAATACAAAAAAAAAAAACAAAAAAAACAGACAGACTCCAGTTTATTAATTTACAAAAATTTTTTTATCTTTCAAGAAAACATTGTATGAATGTATATATTTTCAATTCTGTATGAGGGTGAGGCTGGGGAGAATTAATTTATTACAAATTCACATAGCAAACTGCAGCCTCTCATAAAATTTTATAAAACAAAAATTTTATAATCTTAATTTATGAAATCTTATAATTGATAGTTATTACAATTATTATTAAAATTTTACCAAACAAAAAAAAAAATTTATAAAACAAAAAAATATATTTGTGATGTGGAATGGTTGGTTAATATGCAAAAAAAAAAAAAATTGAAAAAAGAAAAAAAAAAAAAATTCTGGTTGTAATGTCTATTGTACAACTCAAATGAATATGACTATTATATTGCATAATGGTTTTAACCAAACAACATTATCTTCAAATAAAAACAAAAATTACTGCAAAAATTTTACAACAAATCTAGGAGTGCAGAAAATTTTTTCCTTTGGAATAAACAGCAAATGGAAACACTTTATTTGTAGTCTAGAATATAAAGATTAGCATTTGTTACCCTAATGCAGCAAAAATGGCAGAATATAAAGCAATTTTACAATTTTACTTAGAGCAATATCATCAAAAAGCTTTAAATAAATTCCAGTCTAACCAGTCACTAGTTTCTAAGTGACTTTTAATCAGGTACTCTGCTTTTTTGCGGGAAACATCATAGTGTAATGAAAAAGGCTACAAACTTAATAAAAATAAAGTTTTATCGTCAAAATGTTTATGTTATTATTAAGGTGAAAGACCAAAGTATTTTTTAATTATTTTTTGAAATATTTTTAATCCTTTCTAACATATTCGAAATTTTGGTTAAAATCTTCTTTTGTTTATGTCATTGCGGTGGCTAGCTAATAGCATTGACGTTTTTTCACTTTTTTCTGTTGAAAACACATTGATTTGGAAATTCTAGTAAAAATTGTCTGATTTTAATGAAATTTTCAGGACTTATTCACAAATGAATGAAATTATTATTTTTTTTTTTTTTTAAATATGTTACCTCCATCACTTACTTAATTTCATGAAATTTCACAATACCTTTCTATTTCCTGAATTTTTTTTTTTTTGTTAAGAGTAGTAGTCCTTGGAGATTGTAAATCACCTACTTTTCTTTTTTTAAAATTTGAACTGAAAATCTGCTCTGAATTGAAAAATAATAAATGCAACAAAACTATGACATTATTTAATTAGAAAAGCTTTTAATTGCTTTTGTAAATGAGTTATATTAAGGACTTTTTTGTCTGAAGAAATAAAATTTTTCTGATGAATAATGAATTTTTACAAGAATTTTTTCATTTTTTTTTTTTAATTATAATAATTTATAATAGTTTAAAATTGTGTAAAATTCTGTTTCCTGGATGTAAAGTAATTAAGTGGAAACAAAATTTACAAATCCAAAATTGAAATGATTAATAAACTTAGTTGAGATATTCTATTTTTAAAATGATTTTTTATTTTGTATTTTTTTTTACTTAATATGTTCCTTATTTTCATGTAAGGTAAACTGAAATTGCCATTATTATGATCTAAAAGTTTTGTCCCTTTATTAGGTCGCTTCAATTATGTTTCAACAGGTTTTCAAAATTTTCATTCAGCTTTAAAAGCTTAAACCAAGTTTTGCTTTTTCAATTACTATTTCAATAAGTATTTTTATTTTATATATTTAGGTTAGTGTGGGACATACTTCAATTGAATAATCATGGTATTTCATTTGTTACTAAATTATAAAATTAATTGAAGAAAATTTTATAGTATTTTAATTTCTTTTATTTTTGCATTTTCAAAAGGTAAATAAAAGTCAATAAAATATTAAATAATTGCAAAAAATATGTTCATTTGTAAAAATTACTAGGTAGTTAAAAACCATAAAATGCGTTCACTTAGATTTCTGACAATTGGGTCATCCATAGTAGCTTTCATCGCTTCGTCAATCAGCAGTCCATCAAACTTTGAATCAGATGGACAGGACCAATCGTTAATAATTGGTTGTAGATTATTCTTTTATGCTATAAGTAAGTAATATTTATTTCAAATCAGATTGATTTAACTTTAAATTTTCTAATTTTACTAAAATAACATGTCAGAAACTTATTTTTTGAAAGAATTTTAAAATAGAAAAATTTGTTTTGTTTACAAATTTCTTAAAATTAAGGAAATGGCCACTTTTAAGAAAAGTTTAAGAAATGGAAATTAAATTTGACATTCTAATCTATATAATTTCTATGTGAAATATACCATAAGATAAAAATTGGATATTTTTTATTAAGTTGGCTCTTGTTCTAAGCTTTCAGCTCACCCAAAAGTAAAGCAAACATACAAACATTAGATCAGCTCATTATATATATATTTTGAACAATGAGAAAATAAAAAATTAAAATCTTTGGACACACTGGGTTGTAGATTAATATTCTTTCGTTTTTTTATTATTATTCCATTTAGATTCCTCGACTAGTTTCGACTGAAATGGCCATCATCGGGAGGAGAAATATTTCTGCTTGCTGGTAGCAGTGAACTACAGAAATGAATGTCTTGATGGAGAAAATGAACTTTTGTCTGTAGTTTTCATTTGTTTTTTTATTTTTTATTTTCTTATCTTTTTAACATGAATCTTTTAACATTCCTTGTGTTGGTCAAAGAGTCTCTTAAGTTGTTATCTGAAATAAGAGCTGGATAGATACATATTATTCTGAATTCTCTGGTCAGTTTGACAGTTTTATTGGACCTGGTGAGGGGATGTGTCTCTGATTAGTGTTTGTGTGTGTGTTACTTGGTTCTTAGGGAGTGAGTGAGTATGATATGTGTAAGCGTGTGTATTGCTGTAGGTGTGTGTTATCATTTGGCTCCTTAGGGAGTGAGTGAGTATGATGTGTGTAAGTGTGTATATTTGTGTGGGTGTGTGTATAAGTGTGAGGCCTCCACACCTCTGTAAGCATGTCTGTGGTTACTAAAGGGATGCGGCTAGATTTATTTTTAATCTTGTACATTAGGGTGTCTTCTCTAGGTGTGGAAATTGCTTTATTTATTTGTTCCCTGATAAGGTGTTGTTTATAGCCACGTGTTGTGAATTGATGCTCCAGATTTTCAATGTGTTTATTTAATTCTTCATTGTTGGAACATATCCTTCTGAGTCTAAGTGCTTGTGAATATATATATATATATATATATATATATATATATATATATATATATATATATATATAGGTACCTCCACTTTTTGGCATAAATTTTAATACCTAAGTTTAAAAATTCTTGCAAAAATCAAATAATTGTCGGATTTTAATGAAACTTTCAGGACTTATTCACAAAATGAAATTATTTTTGAAATTTTTTTTAGAAAATCTTGTTAAAAAGAGATTTTTTTTTTTAACATATTTCCACCCACTTACATATTTTCATGAAATTTCGAGAAATTAAATCTTCACGCGCGGGATTTTTTCTATTAGTTATAAACAGGACTCTTTGTAGAAAGTAAATCACCAGTTTTTTTTTCTGTAAAACAGGTGGTTTATAGAAAATCTGCTTTGAATTGTAAAAAAAAAAAAAAAAAAAATGTAAAAAGTATGACATTAATTAGAAAAGCTTCCACCTGTTTTTGTAGATACGTTATAGTAAGGACATTATTTTGTGAAGAAATAAAAATTTTTCAATGAATAATGTTTTTTTTTGCAAATTTTTCCCCATTTTTGAAATTTTTTTCATTAACATCTTAATACTTCAAAAATCGTTTAAAATTCTTTATTTCTTTCAAGCACGTAATGCAATGATAACGTTAATGAAAATGTAAATTTACGAACCGAACTTTGAAAAGCACATAACAGTCGTTTGAACAGAAATATTTTAAAAATAATTTTAAAAAGAAATTTTTATTGAAAAAAGTTCATAATTTCTATGTATGGAAATGTATACGCGACATAATCCTTAAAAAGATCATGTGATTTGTGTTGCCTGGCACCGCAGTTATTTCTCTTCTCTGTCCAGTTAAGATCCACATCGTTAATGTGTTTGCAGAAATTCTTTTCAAATTTTAAAAGTTGTAATTATTTTTAATTACTTTTTTATTAAATATTTTTCTTTAAAGTATTTTCTTTTATTTTGGATAATATTTCATTAAAATAATTTAAACAATTATATAATTAAAAAAATAAAGAATTAGTATCTAATAAAAACTTTAAACAATTATCTAAAAAAAGTTTAAAAAAATTATCTAATGAAAAAGTTTGAATAAGAAAAGTTTATATACAATTATCTAATTAATAAGAAAAGTTTATATACAATTATCTAATTAATAAGAAAAGTTTAAACAATTATGTAATTAATAAGAAAAGTTTAAACAATTACGTAATGATTTAAAAAATTTAAACAATTGTCTAATTAAGAAAGTATGAAATAAAAAATAAATAGTACATAATTGCTGAATAAAAATGTTAATATTTAAAAAGTACTAGTTAAAAATGAAAAACCGCGTTTGCCTACTTTTAAAAATTTGTCAATTTTGATCATCCATAGCTGTCTG